GAGGCCACAGGGGCATAGGCTACCAAGGAGACAGAACTGAACCTCACATCTTGGCCCCGGAGGATGGCTGGTTAGTCAAAGACGGGTAAGATTCCTCAGGGAGGAACAACCTAAGACAGGCACAGTCGCAGAGGGGCCAGCAGAAGAGAACGTGGGGGTCGACAGAGGTGGAGCACAGATCCTCACCCCCCCAACTATGCAGGGGCTTGAACACTCGCCCCTTCTGAGGGAGGTCTCCTGCCCCCATGGCTGCTTCTTCCTTCCCATGCCCAGCCCAGATCGGGACCCAGGTAACAGAAAGAGACTTGGCCCAGCTGAGATCAGTACCCAGACAACAGAGACTTGGCTGACAACAGCTACCCTATATCTACAACCAGCCTAACACCAGGAATGCTCAGGGCTTTCTCAAGGATGCAAAATAATCCTTTCCATTAATATTTACAGTGTAAACTAAGATTGTTGTTAGAGTATTAAATTTGACAGTAAAATAGCAGTCAAGTTTTCAGATTAATTAAAATTGGCTCAAGAAGTATTAACCAAAATTTTCATTTCATAGAAAAATTGCTTAACATGCAATGAACCTAAAACAGTCATATTTTTGTGCAAAAAATTAAAATTTAGAGTTATCTAGACTGCATTATAACTTTACCAAAAAGTCTCCTAATAATTAAATCAAAAAAGGGGGGATAGTGGAAAAATACCATGTTAGGAAAAATATCCTGTAACTACATTACATCTAGAAAAATTTTTTCATTTATAATGCTAACAGTGAGACACCCAGGAAAACACACATGGTGTCAAAATAAGCCAAAGGAAAATCATTTGGGCAAATATAAAAAGGACCCCAAGTAAAATTCCATTTATTAACCTTCGGTCGAGAATATGTTTGTATATTTTCAGAAAACAACTCCAAGACCATGTGGATTCCTGCAACAGAGAGGAATTCTCAGGAATGCTCCAGCCATGAAGACAAGAGGAGAGACAGTTCAGAGATGGAGATGCTGACGACGCTTTGCCATGCTAGCAGTCAGCAGCTGTGCGTCACTGCAGGTTGCCCAGGATCAAACCAGAGAGGGTCGGACCTGCATTGCCACCATTTGTCCACCATCAAGAACTGAAATATCATTGCTGACATCTACACATAAGGAACAGTCGGACATTGAAACTTGGACTCAGAACTGTTGGACATTGAAATTGGGACTTAAAACATTTTTTGTTCTTGAAATGTTATGCTTAAGTTTTAAAATGTTTTGGGTTATGGATTGGCATTGTTATTATTTTAATAGCCAGAGTTTTGTCTTGATGTGTAAGTTATAGTAGCTTAATAATAAAAAAAGGGTGAGATGTGGGAAACTGATATAGGGTTAAGCCTCGGACTGACCTGCTGGCAAAGTCACAAACAAGTCCTAGCTTAAAGGACACAGTCCTCTTAGCATAATTAGGCTTGACCTTATAACACTCCCTAGATCTTATCTGGGAAACTAATGGGATGAGGAAGTGCAGGAAGTGTAACCATGGTCAAAACAAGTGAAACTTGAAAGGGCAAGGGCTATGCCCTCCATCTTGCCTGTATCCTCCATGTTGGGGCCACGTGCGGCCTTCTTCCCGGAAGCCCAGGCCTCTGCTGGCCACGCCCGGGATTTTAAACTAACCAATGACAATCAAGGGAAGTGCGCGCCATAGATATGACCACATCCTGTGTAACAAGACCCGGCTTACGCCTGGCCAATCGGCAGGACCCACAATCCCCTCGCGCCACCCCCCTATTAAAGCCAGTTTTTCCCACGGGGGGGCACTCTACTCAGGGTCGCTGGGCTGGCCTGAGGTGGAGTCGGGTTGGCTAGCCCCCAATAAAAGGACCTTCTGCTCTTGCATCGAACTGGCTCCCAGTCTGGTCTTTGGGGATCTTGGAATCTGGGCATAACAAAACTCACAAGAACTGTGTAACTATGGTAACCACTACCTTGTTTACCTCTCACTATAAAAGCTTGGTGAGGACTGAGCACAGTGGAAGTCCTTCCTCTTGAGTTGGACTTGCTCGCCTGGTCCCCCATATTCCCAAATTATCTTGTGTCTTTTCTATTTCATTTGTGTGCGGCTCCACTTCCAGACCCGAACCCTGAACCACGCAGGACGTGGAGGGAAACACGACAGTTGCTGGCTCCATCCCCAGTGTGGGGCCTGCAGGAGGCAGCTGGTCAGTAATTCTGTCTCATCCCTGATGTTTCTCTCTCTCTCACTCTCCCTTCCTCTCTGAAATCAATAAAAATAGACATTTAAGAAATAAAAGGAATCAAGGTGTGACTTTGGTGTTAGTCGGTTGAGAGGAACTGGTTGACAATCAATAAAATGTGTCACACGAATAGGAGGTTCCTGAGAGGCAGGAGGCACTAGGAGCTCAGGAAACAGGAGCGGAAAGACCCTGAGGATGAAACGGGGAAGGGAAAGCCGACCCAAGAGTGGGTGCAACGCTGGTCCCCGGGGACACCTGGCCCAGCCTGGAGGCCGCGGGCTGGGCCTTGGCCTGCTGGACTCCCCCGCCCAGTGTCCGCCTTCCAGGGAGACCACTCCTGGGCGGGTCCACATTTGCCTTTGGCTGCAGGGCTTCCTGCTCTTGTCAGGAGGGCTCCTGGGAGGAGCCTGGAGCAAAGGAATCCTGATGCTCTCTCCTTCCCCCTGGGTGCAGCCACCCCGAGGGGGACCTGGGGTCTGACAGTGTCCAAGGCTGTCCCCCTGGTCGTGCTTGGGGGCACATGCTCTGCATGGAGCTCAGCATGTCGATCACAGAGCCAGGGACTGGCTCAGCCTCAGCCTCTATCCAGGACTCAACATCCGCCCCGACCGGTGTGGCTCAGTGGATAGAGCGTCGGCCTGCAGACCAGAGGGTCCCGAGTTCCATTCCTTCAAGGGCACATGCCTGGGTTGCAGGCTCCTGCCTGGCCCAGGTCCTGGTTGGGGCTCGTGCAGGAGAAAACCAATCAGTGTGTTTCTTTGACATCAATGTCTGTCTTTCCCTCTCTCTGCCACTCTCTCTAAAAATCAATGGGGAAAATAAATAATAAAATAATATAAAAGTAGAGAGAGAGAGAAGAGAAGAGAAGAGAAAAAATCAATGGAAAAATATCCTTGGATGAGGATTAAAAAACAAAAAAAAGACTCAAGCACATTATTGGGGAGAAACTCATTCTGCCTGAACTAGACTTGAGGCTATAATGGATTCTTTTTTATTTTAGGAAGAGTTATTTTACTTTTTAATATTTTTATTGATTTCAGAGAGGAAGGGAGAGGGAGAGAAACATCAGTGATGAGAGAGAATCATGGACCGGCTGCCTCCTGTACGCCCCCTACTGGGCATCGAGCCGCAACCTGGGCCTGTGCCCTTGACTGGAGTGGAATCTGGGCCCCTTCAGTCCGCAGGCTGACCCTCTAGCCCAGTGATTAACAAAGTGGGCGCTACCGCCCCCTGGTGGGCGCTGTAGGGATCCAGGGGGGGGCGGTGATGGCCACAGGTGCATTAGTTTTAACTTTTTTTGTATTACCTTTCTATTCTGTGTTCAATAAATATTTTCATAATTTCAAACTTCAATGTTTCTAATTTACACCTTTCTTTACTATATTTTATGAAAAAGGTAGAAACATTAATACATATATCTTTCTGTTTAATTCCTATTAAAATTTTTAAAAAATTAATTTCCAGGGGGCACTGAGTAATATTTTTTCTGGAAAGGGGGCGGTAGGCCAAGTAAGTTTGGGAACCACTGCTCTAGCCACTCAGCCAAACCAGCCAGGGCTTGATCCTTTTTTAAAATAAATCCTTTCTTGTTGAAAGTGTTATATGTGTCTCCTTCCCCATCGCCCGGTCCCAGCCCCTGTGGTCTGTGTCCAGTGGCTCTGCCATGTGCAGGCACACAGTCCTTCCCCTGTTCCAGGCCGGTGCCCCCCGCGCTCAGCGGTCTGGCCCTGGGCCGCTCCTCCCGGGAGGCTGGTTGCTGAGCACAGGTTGCAGGTGATCCGCGTGGGATGCCCTGAGGGATCTCCCTGGTGGGGGGTGCGGCACGGAGTCCCCGGTTCAGGGTGTCCCCCTGCTCCTCAGGGAGCAGCGATGTCAGCGCCTCCCGGTCGTGGGGCCGAGGGCCTGCGGGAGTCTGATGGCTCCTCCCTGGGGGTCCCCATCATGAGAAGCCCCACAGGCGGGAGTCACCGCAGGTTAGTGGGTGCTTCTGGGGTGCCCCCTGCACCCCTTCATCACCCCGCTCCCCTACCCTCCCCCCACACACACATGAGTAACAGGAACCCTCAGCAGAAGGACCTCTCTAGGCCGGGAGGCCATGTACAGGCGGGTCCGGTTCTGCAGGACCGTCTCCTGGAGGCGCCCAGAGGCCGATGGGGGCGGGGAGGCGCCAGGCTCTTGTTTCTTTCCTCCTCACCTGAGGGTGTTGCTTATTGATGTTATTTATTTATTTTAATAAATTTTAATTGATTTCAGAGAAAAGGGAGGTGAGATAGAAACGTCAGTGATGAGACAGAATCACTGATCGGCTGCCTCTTGCACGCCCCCCACTGGGGATCAAGCCCACCACCCGGGCCTGTGCCCTGACCAGGAATCCAACTGCCACCTCCTGGTTCACAGGTTAGTGCTCAACCACTGACCACCCCGGCCTTAATCCTCACCCAGGGATTTCTTGTTTTTATTGATTTTGAGAGAGAGAGAGAGGGAGAGAGACACCAATGAGAGCGAGAAACATTGACCTGTTGGCTCCCAAATGCTCCGCAACCAGGGATGGGCCTGAGAGCAGGGATGTGCCTGACGGGGACGGAACCGAACCCTTTGGGTCCAGGACGATGCTCCAATCACCTGAGCCACCGCCCAAGGCCCCCCCCCCCCCATTTACTGATTTTCAGGAAAAGAGACACACAGAGCCACATGGGATTCACTGCGGGATCGAGAGAAGGCGACACAAGTGACAGTGACGCCTGAGGAGGTGGCTTTCCCAGATTTTATTGGTCAGAGCGCAGAGGCCGGGGCCAGGGCCAAACAGAACTCAGGGCTCTTCTTAAGGCGAGAGGTTCTCGGAAACGTCCCTGGGTCTCCTGACTCGATACCTGATCCTGTCCCAAAGGCGCCCTAAGGCGCCCGGAGGCCTCCACCCCCAGAGGATCAATCCAACGTCCTTGATCTGTGCAGGGGGAGAAAACGGGCTCCATGTGGGGCTGGGCCAGGGTCAGGAGCCCCCACCTGCACCCCCTTCCGGGGCCAGCGAGGCGCCTAGGGGCCCGGCTCCCCCTCTGCCTGTGACCTTGGAGCCTGTGGTGGAGCCCCCACCCCTTAAACAGATGGGGAAACTGAGGCCCAGAGGTGGCTAGTGGCTTCCCCAGGTCCCAGGGCCCATCCAGCAAAGCCGAGGCGGAGCCGGGCTGAAAGCTCATCAGCACAGTGAGCGGCCCCCCAGCCTCAGCAGGAACCTTCTGGAAGGTGGCTGCATGCCCCCTGCTGGGCCTCACCCGGAGTCTGAGGCTGCAGGTCAGGGGGGGGGGGGCCTTTCTAACAGGCTCCTGGGCAGGGACCCCACTCAGATCCAGGCTGGGGCTAGGGGAGGACGGGCAGGGGGCTCCCTGGGCCCAGACGCTCCAGGGCCACACCCATCGGCCCCCAGGTCTCAGAAGGGGCCCCTCACCTCCTCGCAGACGACGTCATAGTAGCCGGTGTCCTGGTCCAGGGTGACGGTCCCCGCGCACTCCTTCACCAGCTGCAAGGGCGCAGGTCACACCTCCACCCGGAGCTGAGCCCTCCCGGCCCCCCCGGCCCTGGGAATGGGCCCCAAGGCCTCCTGTCCAGCATCTCGGGGCGCCCCAGCCCCCAGCTCACCCCGTTCTCCTTGAAGTCACACTCCTCAGGGGGCTGCCGCGTCGTCCTGGGGCACACAGTCTCCTTCAGGGTGAAGCTCACGGGCTTCGGGGTGTCTGGGTTCAGGTCCTGGCGGGAGAGAAAGTGGGGAGACCAGGGCTGGGCCTCTGCTTGCTCCCCTGGTCTCACCCCGCCCCGCCCCCTCCAAAGAGAACAGCCTTCAGCAGCCCCTGCCCTGTCCCTGGGGCTGGTTGGGTGCTGGGTGTGGGCAGGGGGAGAGGGCAGAGCCTGCCCAGCTCCAAGGGGACCCGGGGCCAGGACTCCTGGGGCCTCCTGTGTGGGAGGCAGATGAGCACAGGACACTCAGAGCAGGGCCGTGTCCTGGTCCGTTTGGCTCAGGGCACCTTCAGTCCTGGGTTCAATTCCTGGTCAAGGGCACCTGCCCGGGTTGCTGGCTGGATCCCCAGGAGGGGGCGTGCAGGAGGCAGCCGATCCATGAATCTCATCATGGATGTTTCTATCTCCCTCCCTCTCCCTTCCTCCCTGAAATCAATAAAAGTCTATTTCAGCCCTGGCCGGTGTTGCTCAGTGGGTTTACTCGTGCACGAGGCAACCATAGATGTGTCTCTCACATCGATATTTCTCTCCGTCTTTCCCTCTCTCTTCCACTGTCTCTAAAGATCAATGGAAAAATATCCTCGGGTGAGGATTTTAAACTAATAATAATAATAAAACGAAAACAAAAATAGATTTTTAAAAATAAATAAATAAATAAAGCAGGGAGTCACACCCCAGCCCCGATGGCCTGCTCTTCCCTGGGACCCAGAAGCCTGAAGCCTGAGTGGGGGTTGGGGGGGGGACCTCATTGCACAGAATAGATTGGCAGGCGGAAGCGGCCTCTGGGAGGGGACACAGCCCTGGGAGGGGACACAGCCCTGGGAGGTGCCCTGGCGGAGGGGGGACCCCTGGAGGGAGCAGCCTCCCTGAGGGCAGCCAAGCAGAAGCCCAGGGAGTGGCAGGAGGCCAGAGCAGAGCCCCTCCCGCCCCCCACTCACGCCCTGGGGCTGCAGGTCCTGCTGCAGGAGGCGGTAGAGGCTGGCCTCCCGGGAGCGCTGGTTGAAGCCCTGCACAGCCAGGCGCACGGCCTCCTGGTAGGTCAGGGCCCGGGCGGCGGCCAGAGGCGTGGGCATGGCCAGGCCCAGCAGCAACAGCAGCAGCGGCCAGCACCCCCAGCACAGGCGGCTCCTCTGGGTCTCCATGTCCCCGAGTGGAGTCCCCCCAGCACGCAGGGCCCCCTTTATGCAGCCGGGCCGGGTGCCCCCCCTGCGCGGGCCCCGGGGGCTGGGCTTGCCTCAGCTCCCTGTTGCCTCACAGGCTGCTGCTCGGTGGGCAAGGTCGCTCCAGGGCAACGTGAAGAAATGGTTTCCCCATGTCCCCACCTGCTCCTTCTTCCTCCTGGGACACTTCCCCTCTCCCCACCCCATCCCCCGTCTGGCTCCTGCACGCCCTCCCTTCCTCCCCTCTGAATGCAGCCTCAACCTCCAGATGCCATCTCCTCCAGGCCCCAGGCTCCAGCCATGGCTGCCCTCTGAAGTGGCTCTCCACAGCCTCCAGGCTGAGCCCTCGCCAGGCGGGTGCGTGCGGGTGGGCTTCTGCCACACAGGAGGAGGCTGACCAGACCCTCAGAAGCCATGGCCGCCCTCTGTCCTGGGGAGAGAGGGGCTCGCCCCAGCCTGCCTTTTTCGGGGTTCGATTACCACTCAGACCACAGTCAACTTCCTCACCATCGTCACCATCCTCACCATCCTCACCATCCTCACCATCATCACCATCATCACTATCATCACCATTTTCACCATCATTACCATCCTCACCATCGTCACCATGGTCACCATTGTCACGGGAATCCTTTGGCTGCTGATGACCCATTTCCCCCCCAACCCCCATTTCAGGAGCCCCTCTACCCTTCACTAGCATCTGGTCCTGGAGTCTTTGTGTGTGTGTGTGTGTGTGTGTGTATTTTTATTGATTTAAGATAGGAAGGGAGAGAGCGAGAGAGAGAGAGAGAGAGAGAAACATCAATGATAAGAGAGAATCATGGATCAGCTGCCTCCTTCACGCCCCAAACTTGCGATTGAGCCTGCAACCTGGGCCTGTGCCCTGACAGGGATGGGACTGTGACATCCTGGTTCACAGTTTCACGCTCAACCACTGAGCCACACCAGCCGGGCAGGGCCTGGAGTCTCCTTCCTACCATTGCCATCCCCCAGCCCTACAGGCCCCAGGCGCCAGGCTGCTGCATGCACCCCTCCTCTCGGCCCGGAGCCTCCTGCTCCCTCCTCTCTGCCTGACACGCCCGGCCACCAACCAAGCCTCCCTGACCTCCAGCCGGATGGGGCCACCGTCTCCTCTTTGCTCCCAGCTTTCGGGACGTCTCTTCCCATTTGATCCCAGATGAGCCCGGTCAGTGCTCTAGTGGCCACAGGCCCGGGCGGCTGCAGGGAGAGAGCACCTGGGAGAGGAGAGGCCAGCGTGCCAGGGGCTCAGCGGCCCCATGGACATGCAGGCCAGCTTCCCTGGGAGTGGCCGTGCGGCCAGGAGGCCTGGGGTCGCTGCTGGCCTCTTGGCCTGGGGGCCTCTTGGGGTTTGGACATCTGGGGTGGAGGGTGCTGTTGCGCACTCGGCCTGGGGAGAAGGAAGGAGAAATGGGCTTGTGTGCAACCTGGTTTCACAGCCGGGATTGCCCCAGGGGCTCTGGACCAGCCGGGCCTGCACACGGGCCCTGGAGAGAGGCCGGGAGGAAGTCAGCCCAGGGCACCGGCCCCTCAGTTCTCTCCTGGGTCCCTCAGCTTTAGTTCTGGCTTCAGGGTCCCCAAGGAGCCAAACCAGGAGAGGAGAAGGCATCAGTGCTCACCCTTAGCCCAGGGCAGGGACCCCCCAGTCCTGCTTCCTCTAGGGCAGACCCCACCGCTCAGAGCGCCTTTCCCACTGGCCACAGGGACCTCTGCCTGGGCCAGCCCCGCACACGCCTCCCGCTCAGAATCAGCAGAGCCAGGGGCTTCCCCAGGTCCTCCGACGCCTGCAAGTCAGGACGGGGCCAGGGGGTCGCCTTCCCTCTCTGGGCCACAGCACAGGGTCCAGGCTTCCAGCCTCCAGGGCTGAGCCCCAGCCAGGCCTGTGGGTGCGGGTGGGCGTCCACCACAGCGGCAGGGAGGCTGACCAGACCCTCAGAAGCCATGGCCGCCCTCTCTCCTGGGGACGGAGGGGCTCTCCCCAGCCTGCCTTTTTCATAAGTTCTCTCTCATGAACCAGGTGATCATAAGATTCCAGAGGAGCCCAGCCTGCGTGGCTCAGGGGTTGAGCATGGACTTATGAACCAGGAGGTCAGGGTTCGATTCCCACTCAGAGCACATGCCCAGGTTGTGGGCTCCATCCGTGTGGGTCAAGCAGGGGGCAGGCGATCAATGATTCCTGGGGAGAGCGGCTACAGCGTTTGGACAGGTTCAAGCCTCGGACTAATGAGAGGGCTGGGTCCTCTCGTGGCAAAGCCCTCCCGGCACCATGACAGCCAAAGGCTATGGTTGTGAGCTTGGCCTGATTGTCCGAGTCTGTGGCCACGTGGCTGAGTGATGTGGGCTGCGGGAGGTGCAGTAACACAGCTTGATCAGGTGCCTGTAACTGAGTGGATTCGAAACCCAGGAGAACGTTGTCACCACGCCCTTACTGTGCCTCGTGGAATCTGCGATAAAATAAGGACTCGGCTGGCAGGCCGTGGCGCTGTCGCTAGCTCTCCATTAGAGAGGACAGCGTCCCACCCAGACCCAGCTTTCTTCTCTTGTCCGTCTTTTCTCCATCCTTCACTGCCCCCTCTCAGGCTCCTGAACCTGGCTGAGCTGCTGGGTACAGTTTCTATCTCCCTCTCCCTTCCTCTCTGAAATTAATATAAAAAATTTTTAAAGAAGATTCTAGGGGAGTCTAGATCAAAAAGGGGAAATCCCTCAGCTCCCAGGAAGCTTTAACAGCGGTTCTCAATGTGTGGGCCCCAGACCATTAGCGTCACAGCTCCTGGGAACTTGTTGGAAATGGAAATTCAACACACACACACACACACGCACACACACACACACACTCACACACCCCTTTTTCATGAGCCTAGAATCACACCCTGTGCCCATGAAGTCATCTCTCCTTCCTCCCTGGTTCGGTCCCCTGTGAACACTGATCTGCTTTCTCTTTCTAAGGATCTGTCTGTTCTGGATCTTGCTCATCAGAGGAATCAGGCCCAGCTGGAGAGGCTCAGGGGTTGAATATTGACCTGTGAACCAGGAGGTCATGGTTGGGTTCCCATCAGGGCACGTGCCTGGGTTGCAGTGTGGGACCTGCAGGAGGCAGCTGGTCAATAATTCTGTCTCATCATTGAAGTTTGTCTCTCTCTCTCCTTCTCCCATCTTCTATGAAATCAATAAAAATATAGCCCTTCTAATAGTAGACAAACATGTTAATTGACCGTACCTTTGCTACCCTTCCCATAGGCTAATCATGGTGATATGCAAATTAACTGCCACCAAAGATGGCGGTTAATTTGCATACATAGGTGCAATGCTGGGAGTGAAAGGGGAAGGACGGCCAACCCCCCTGCTGCTGATGGTGATCAGAAACCCAGGCAGCAGACAAGAGCCTGGTGGCGGGGCAAGGCGGCCTCCGGGGGGGGGGGGGGCCTTTGCCCTGCCTCCTGGCCCGTGATCGGAGAACTGGGGCTGCCTTTGCCTGCCCCCAGCCCGTGATCCGAGAACCGGGGCCGTCTTTGCCCGCCCCCTGGCCGGTGATTGGAGAAGTACCTGTATTTTTTTTTTCAAAGTACCTGTATTTTTAATAATTTCTTCTCATGGTAAAAGTATTTTACATGATGATCACAGGGTGGTGGGGTGAGGAGAAGGAGCAGCAGAACAATCCAACAAACAAAACAAGAAACAGAAATGCATGGTGGAAGGGATTTGAACGGTGGGTAGGGGCATTGTCCAACTAAAATGCAATTGGTTTGTTACTGAGTACAATTCATGGGAAGACTGCATCCTGACTCCTTCTCTATACAGCATATTGGGAGAAAAAATGGTGCATCCAGGTGGAAATATGATCAGGGGTTGGAAGACAGACAGGGAAAGAAGAAGTCAGAAATAGACACTGAGAGAGTCCCTGGCTGGCTGGCTGCAAATACTGACTCTCCAGTAGTGATAGAATAAAAAAGTGGGGGATATCTCTGGAAGATTCAAGAGATAGGGGGCAACTCTTCTATGGTTTTGACTTGCCCAGCAGATTTCCACATACACACATGTACACGCCTATGTTTGCATGCACACACATATACATATAACTGACTGCCCTCCGTGGAAGCACAGAAAAAGAAGAAGCCGCCAGAAGAAGAAGCCGCCCACCTTTGGTCCAGGCGCCAGCGCCTGCGGCAGGTTGCAGCCCAGGAGACGGACAAGCCACCTGCCCGAGGTCCCAGGCTGCAGCCACCTGGAGAAGCTGCCAGCCCTGTGGTCCAGGGCGCCAGCGCCTGTGGCCAGGGAAATAGGTTCCCTCTTCTCCTACTGCAGTCATTACTTCAATATTCCCCTTCTGAATTTCTCTCCTGTGCTGCAACCCAACTCCACTTTTCATCAGAAAGATATGGAACAGAGAGAGCAGTGTTAAAAGCTTACATTTTTAAGCCAGAAGGTTGGTACTTAAACATATAAATGGAAAACTAGAGTCCTTAAGGTAACAAAGGCTACAAATGACAGGGACAGCTCATGACCTATTATATCCAGCAATCCATATGGGGACTGAAAACTTTGCAATGAGGACAATTAGTGAAGATATGAATCAACTAAAATAGTTGACAGGGACAATTCTTCCATCTTTGAAAATATCTACATCAAATCTGTTTAAGTAGATTTTCATCTGCATAATATAACACATTCTGACAAGACCACCACCACCACCAATGTGTTCAGTGCTGTGCCGATAAATGTTTAATAACTGAGGGACCCCCCCCCCCATGAGTGCACAAATTTTTGTGCACCGGGCTACTAGTATTTAAGAAATAAAAGCAATCAGCCTTAACCAGTTTGGCTCAGTGGAGAGAGTGTCGGCCAGTGGACTGAAGGGTCCCGGGTTTGATTCTGGCCATTGGCATGTACCTTGGCTTCAGGCACATCCCCAGTGGGGGGTGTGCAGGAGGGAGCTGATCGATGTTTCTCTCTCAACAATGTTTCTA